TCTTTTTCCTGTGCTTTTTTAACCAAAACTTTCTCATGAATGGAGTTTTAAAAAGACTTTTTAAAAACGTAAATCTGACGTAAAAAATAAAATATTCCAAACATCTCTCTAGTTATTTGGCCATTGAAAATATCACCTAATCAACTTCTAGAAAGTTATTCAACCTTACTATTATAAGTCTTGGTTTCAATTGCCGTATAGTTCCATCCATTTTATAAACAATTCTAGAGAAAACACATCGTTCATTCAAACTTGTCTGCGGGAATTAAAATATTATAAACTATATTTTTATATGACAGGATCAAAAGTATAGTCAACTTACAAATTTTTTATTCCACGTTCCCAAAATTAAATTGTTTATTTAGGAATGTATAATGGGAAAGGATAAATATTGATATTATAATATTTGGAAGAAAAGTGAGACCAACAACATTGGATGTGTCTATATATACATTTGTATGTGACCATTAATATTCATTACTTGAAAGTAATTTTTTTTTTGGTTTTGAAACAGTGTAATTTTTTATTTTTTTGAAACAGTTTGTTTCATAAAGATAAGAGAATGTTGAAAAAATTTGATTGAATTTAGAAGTGTAGAAATTATTTGTTACGTGTCAATTTATTTTAAATTTATATAAATTTGATTTAGATTTAAAATAGATAGATTTGATTTAGTTTTAAAATAGATATTTTAAATTTTTATAGTTTTTCACATATTGTGATAGAGAGAAACTATATAGAAAATAATTCTTTTTTATTTTCTTTCATTCATTTTTTTATTATTGATTTCCAAACTATACAGAACTAACAAATACATTTATACAAAACTAACAAAAGTGTGATAATGGCAGAAAGAGTTTGTGTAACAGGAGGTGTAGAGCTTTTCTTATACCAGTTTTAAAAAATAGATATGTAACTAAAACAATGTAAATATCATGGAAAAAGAGCATAGGCACTTGAAGTATAAACAACTTTCTCATTGATATTCCACACTGCCGTTTGAAGAGAGTTGTTTATCCTTCAAATGCCTCTTCTCTTTATTGTCAAGAGAAAGAAAAAGAAGATGTAATGGATGAAAGACAACAACATGGACTAGATATTGTGACTGTTATACAATCTATTCTTGTTGTTGAACCCTTTCATATTTCCTAACCTTCCAACCTTTTGGTAAGTGGTTTTTTTCTAATATTTTTTATATATTGAGATATGATTGATTGAAATAATATGAATAAATGATGAGGCAATCAATGGTAAAATAAGAAAGTTATGTAATGGTTTTCCTCGATCACATTTGTTTTACATTTTAGGATTTATGTGTTAATACTTAATGCTTTGTATGGGAACAAATTAAAAGGAAAGACCTTAATAGTTCTCAATTTTTTATTATAACTTTGACCACGTTTATGTGACTCTTTCTTCTTAATTTTTATTATTATTATTATTATTATTATTATTATTATTATTATTATTATTATTATTATTATTATTATTATTATTATTATTATTATTATTATTATTATTATTATTATTATTATTATTATTATTATTATTATTATTATTATTATTATTATTATTATTATTATTATTATTATTATTATTATTATTATTATTATTATTATTATTATTATTATTATTATTATTATTATTATTATTATTATTATTATTATTATTATTATTATTATTATTATTATTATTATTATTATTATTATTATTATTATTATTATTATTATTATTATTATTATTATTATTATTATTATTATTATTATTATTATTATTATTATTATTATTATTATTATTATTATTATTATTATTATTATTATTATTATTATTATTATTATTATTATTATTATTATTATTATTATTATTATTATTATTATTATTATTATTATTATTATTATTATTATTATTATTATTATTATTATTATTATTATTATTATTATTATTATTATTATTATTATTATTATTATTATTATTATTATTATTATTATTATTATTATTATTATTATTATTATTATTATTATTATTATTATTATTATTATTATTATTATTATTATTATTATTATTATTATTATTATTATTATTATTATTATTATTATTATTATTATTATTATTATTATTATTATTATTATTATTATTATTATTATTATTATTATTATTATTATTATTATTATTATTATTATTATTATTATTATTATTATTATTATTATTATTATTATTATTATTATTATTATTATTATTATTATTATTATTATTATTATTATTATTATTATTATTATTATTATTATTATTATTATTATTATTATTATTAAAAAAATATAGAATGCTTTTCTTTTAAGTTATACTGTGTAGATTACACCAAAGAAAAAACAGAAAAAAATATAAACAGAAGTTTGGTTTAGCATGATGTGCAGCTCATCCTCTTCATACTCCATGACCTCCATCGTACATCACCTGCAGAGGAAAGAAAATCACAATTCATACAAAGTATTACATACACAACTCACAAAATTATAGCTTGGTTCAAACAACCTGAGCCCAATTTCTCTTTTATTGTTACTTTTTTTTAATCCTTGTTCAAAAGAACTTGTTGATTGTTTTTTTTTGTTTTTTTTACAAAAATGTTTTAATTCTTCAAAATATCTTTAAAAATACAAAAATATATTTATTTTAAGCATTTTCAAAAATTGATTAGATGTACTACGCTAAAAGTGAGTTTTAACAGCGCACATTAGACAGTATTTTTGTACAAAAGTGTTGCTATAAGTGAATTAAAAAAAACACGGAAACCGTATAAAATAATTAATAAAAGCGCTGCTAAACATATGACCTTAGACAGCGCTTTTAAAAAGCGCTGCTAAAAGATTGTTTTAGAAAGCACTTTATCATAAGTGCTGGTAAAGGTCCACATTAGACAGCGCTTTAAGAAAGCGCTGTCTAAAGTCATAAAAAATTAAAAAATATATTTCCCTTTCTGAAACACAGCGCGTCCGACATCAGAACTTCTGATCCCCTTTGTTTTGCTTTCAGTAGCATGCTAATTCTATCTCTCATTATTTCCCTTTTTTATCATCTTCAACATTAATACCTTTTTTATTAATATAAAATAGACATAAAAATATTTTCCTTTTACTAATTAATTTTTTTTTTTATTTTTTATTTCACTAAGACAAAAAAACCATTTTCTAAACAAGTCCTTTTTCTTTCTTGCATTGTACATTTCAATATGGTTGTAATAGATAATTAGGACTTTAATTTTTTGCAATCCCCATTTGTAAATTTGTACACCCCATCCCCTTAACGATGTAATAGTGTAGGACTTTACTTTTCCGCACTTTATTGCTTTCAAACATAAATGCTAATAATTAGGGTGTGTATGAAAAGACATAAAATCAACAAATAGATAACCCTAATCAAGACTAAATGCATGAATCAAACACACTTGCACACTAGTACCCTTAGGGTAATCCCATTTTGTTGCCTATCGAAAAATAGTCATGTCCTTCGAATATGAGCATTTTAGCAAAGACTCTCGATAAAAGATCGTAGTCCCTCGATGACCCTTGATGTTGCCTTTGGTAAACAATCTCGTCCCTAAACGACATTGCTAAAACATCCTCCTATAAGTTACCTTCTATGACTATACAAACATCTCGCGCCCTTCCCTTCACATCCAACGATGGAGCTCCTTACCAAAATGATGGTAAGATAGCAACATCTAAAGGAGGAGGAAAAGAACATTTAAGACCTTTTGAGTAGGTAGATTTGCTCGCTTGCTCACAATAAAAACATTTTATACACCCACACTTTCAGTTTGAAACATTTTCAAAAGAAAAAAATACTTTGTACGCGTTCTTATAGAAACGAGAACCATTACAAAGACACCTTTTCAAATTCACTTTCAAAAGCACATTCCACAAACACCTCTTTGAACTATTTTTCGAAACAACACTTTGTACGCGTTCTTATTGAAACGAGAACCATTACAATGACATTTTCAAAATACTTTTGAAATCCACACCACAAGCACATACAAACAAAAGCAAGTGATCTAGCAAGCAACTAAGAGTCCGTAGATAACTACGGATGAAAAGGATGCTAATACCTTCCCTTTTCATAATTTACCCCCCGAACTCAGAAAACATTTTTAAAGGTCTTTCCTGTTCTTTTCATCCTTTCCTTATTGGATAAAAGAAAATTCGGTGGCGACTCTTGCTATCTGCACAATTGTGATCAAACGCAAAAGAACCAAGTCAGTTCTCCCACCGCGTTACAAAACTGACGACTTTGCTGGGGACATCTACTTAAAAGTGGGGTTACCTTAGGGCTAGATCACCTTTACTTGATTTTCATGGTTTGACTTGCTTGCTTTATATTTTGTGTCCTTGTGTTGGGTTACCGTTAAAGATCCTACACCCGGATCTGGGGCACCTTTTTAGGTAAGTAGTAATAAACTGTGAGGGAGTTGTGCGGGATATATCGACACGGTTGAAACAGTAGCTACGTTGATGTGATAATTTAGTGTGTATCGGTAGCCCTTGAGTAATCAAGGAGAATACGGGGCCGCTGCATGGTATCATAAAGCGTCAACTGACCTTAGCACCTTAATTGACCAACTTGGCTTTTAGGACGTAGTGAGATAGCCGTCTTTGGTGTAAACCCAAAGTCGGTTGATACTCGATGCTACACTCATTGAGGTTTGACTCTCGAGTTTCGGTTTGGTGGAAAGTTAATTGTCTATCGGAACGAAATTTATGGGAAAGATCGGTGATATTGAGTGCCCTTAGAACCCTGTTACTATATTTAGGACAAGTTGAACCAATCCAACTTCAAGAGGGTATACCTTAAAATCCATGCAAGCCTTAAACCTAAGGTCTTTGTGTGATTTGCTTGTGTTTGCTATATCTGCTATATCCGAGCATAATCATGACATCATAACATAGCATATCATACTAACCATTTCAAGTATTCTTAGGGTTTACTTTTGTCTTGTTTTGTAGGACATGTCCCTCGCCCGCAGATTCACTATCCAAGTCAGCCTGGTAAAGGTACCTCCTCAGCTTAAGGAATTGGTATCAAGGGTTCTTGAAAGCTCTCCCTTCACTGAAAGACATAGTCGACTTCTCAGCTTGGTCACCTTAAACCCTGATGAAGAAATGCTAAAAGTGCTCTTCCAGTTCTTTGACCCTCTATATCACTGCTCCACTTTTCCGGATTACCAGTTAGTTCCTACCATGGAAGAATTTTCTCTGTTACGTGGGTGCCTATCCTTAACAAGGTACCTTTCAATGGCATGGAAAGAGACCCTAAACCCGAAGATCTGGCTAAAGCTCTGTCCTTACAGCGGTCTGACGTAGTAACAAATTGGGAAACCAGGAGAGGTGTCAAGGGTTTTTTTGGCTAAGTTCTTGTTTGATAAAGCTCATCATTTTTGGGATAACCTGGACTTACAAGATTTTGAAAAGGTATTAGCCCTTCTCATCTATGGGCTGGTACTGTTCCCCAATCTAGACCAGCTCATAGACGTGAATGCCGTTAAGGTTTTCTTGTCACGCAATTCGATACCTACTCTGCTTGGAGATATCCTACATTCTTTGCATACTCGCACTATAAAGAGAAGAGGGACCCTTCTGTGTTGCACTCCTCTTTTTGCTAGGTGGTTTATTTCGAACCTACCCCAATCCATCCTGAAGAATGAACAGGGTTCGAGATGGTCTCATAGGCTAATGACTCTTACACATTCGGGTATTCATTGGTGCCTTGATCCTCAGAGAATGTTACCATCATTGATCAATGAGGAGATTTCCCTAATGTCCCTCTCTTAGGTATTAGGGGAGGAATCACTTACAACCCTTGTTTGGCGTTGCGGCAGTTTAGATATGCGAGAAGGGATGGTCCTCATGACACACTAATCTAAGGAATCATCTTAGATTATGAGAATTATGTTCAGGGTTACCGTAAAAGGTTCATGCGAGCTTCGGGCATGGTACGTAGAGTTGATAGCAAGAAATTGGGGCATAAGAACTCAATCCCTCTTGATCCTTATCTCAAATGGGTGCGAGCCCGTGCTCAAAGCCTTATGATGCCTTACCCTACTGTCCTACCAACAATTGTGTAACCGGTTGCTGAAGGAGATGCTTCTTATCTTATTCTCCATCCTGACATGCCCACTGATCATGAGGAGTTACAAAAATCCTAGGTTCAACTCAAAGAGGGGCGGGATACGTTTGAAACTTAATTCTACGCCAGTGAGAAGAAAGTCTTGGAACTCACTAGGCTACTTCATGAAGAGAGGAATGTAAACGCCTACATTGCACCAAAGAGGATGCGCTCCTGGGAGACCTAATTTTCTTTTTTTTGCTTTAAGTTTTGTTTTGTTGTAAGCCTAAAAGGCATCCTTTGTAACAATTCAAACTTATTAAAACAATTAACGTGTGTTTATTTTGGTTAAACAAATTTGAGCCTTTAGGAGTCCTTGAAATCATTGCATACGCATATAATCCATGACATTGCATAAACAGGTTTCATAATAGGTTTCTCATCTTCTGCGCTGTTTATTTAAGCAATAATGTCTTCTGAATAAAGTATCAAGGACCTCTAGGCACAAAATACCCAATTTCAGCAAATGTTCGTAGCCTTGGCTAAGGGGCAGGAAGATCTGAAGACCCTTATTCTGAAAGAAAAGAAGAAGAAGAAGAAGAAGAAGAAGAAGAAGACCGCCGGTGCCTTGAATCTGGGCCGAAGATTCAAGGGACCGATGAAGCAATTGGTCGATCTGACCTCCTCGTCCAAAGAAGGGGAGAATCAAGGAGGAGAGACAAGGGAGGAGGACCTTAGCCTTGAGATTTCTGATAATGACACAAATTACAATGATGAACAATATCCTCCTGTTGAGGATAGATACAAACAATTATAGGATCATCTGAGGCCAATGGAGATCCAAAGAATACGAGGGCTGGATTTTGAAGAGTTGGGTTTGGTATCTAGGGTAGTCATCCCGCAGAAGTTCAAGGCTCCATTATTTGCGAAGTATGATGGGGTGTCGTGTCCCAAGCTTTATCTCTGTTCCTATGTGAGGAAGATCCACCCTCACACTTCTAATAGGAACTTGTGGGTCCATTTCTTTCAGGACAGTCTATCCGGGACTCAGCTCGAGTGGTTCTATCAACTGGAGGGAACCAATGTCCGCAATTGGGAAGATTTGGCTGCTGCTTTTTACAAGCAATATCAATATAACGTTGACCTTGCTCATACCTGTACGCAACTCCAGAGTATGTTCATGGGTGAAAGCGAAGGGTTCAAAGACTATGTGCATAAATGGAGATATTTGGCTGGAAGAGTCCAACCCCCTTTGTCTTATAGGGAGTTGGTCGACATGTTTCTTGGTACACTGTCGGGTCCTTTCTTCAATCACTTGATTGGTAGCTCCTCAGTTGGTTTCATCGAGCTGATATTGACTGGAGAAAGAGTGGAAGCTGGGATCTGGAGCGGCAAGATCCAGAAAGACACCTCATCAAGTATAGTGAGGAAGCCACTCACGGGTAAGAAGGAGGTCAGTGCCATTTATAACTCAAGAGGTCAGAGCAGAGCTGAGCACCGTCCAACGGTAGGGGCTGTGATGATACCTAGGCCTGTGGCTACTCAACAACGAAATAATCAGCAAAGGGTAGAAATACCGCAAAGGCAGTTCACCCGGATTAATATGACGTTGACTGAGGTTTTACCCTATCTGTTAAGATCTAACTTAGAAACCTTAAAGGAGGCTCTCAAGAATCCTAACACCACATCTCCTCGGTACAATCCAAACGCTCAGTGTGCTTATCATTCTGAGAGCCCAAGCCACGATACAAATGAATGTTGGGCTCTGAGAAATATGATACAGGATCTAATCGAAGCCAAGGAGATTGAATTTGATGCTCCAGAGAAGCCTAATGTCATAACCGCTCCCATGACCAAGCACAACCATGGTGTTAATGCCATTGATACTGATATGTTTGTTACTTCTGTTGATGAAATTTCCACTCCTCTCATGGCTGTCAAGAAGAATTTGTTGCTAGCCGGTTTATTTTTGGGTTATGGTGAAGGATGCCACATGTGTCTATCTCTGCCTTCTGGATGTTATTTGCTGAAAGCAGGTGTTCAACGCCTGATGGATAACAAAGAGATTTTTTTTGAAAAGACTTCGATTTCGACTGTCCTACATGAAGATGTCGCTATCATAACCATTTCCGCCAATCCTTCCAAGGTCTCCTCTAAAATACCTGTTAGGATTACACCTGCTCCAAGAATTGCTCCGTTGATAATCACTTTTCCTGGTCCTATACCGTACTCCTCGGACAAAGCTGTCCCTTGGAATTATGGTGTCGACGTTTACTATCATGGCATCAAACAAGATTTTAAGATTGAAGAGGTTGATCCCGATATCAGTAACATTTTCGGAGCCAGCAAAGTTACCCGAAGTGGAAGGGTTTTCTCTCCTGAGATCTCCCAGAAGACTGTTGCTAAGCCTGTTATTATTCCACCTGTTGTTCCTGCTAGTACTTCTGATACTGCTCCCGCTCTTACTCTAGTTGTTACCCCTGCCGATGAGTCATCTGGGACTCAGGGAAAAAAATCTATAGGTGAACCTGCCTGGACGGAGGCACCTAGAAAAGTTGTTTTGGAATCCTCTAAGCAAGAAATGGAGGAAATTTTGAAAATAATCAAGAAGAGCGACTATAATGTGGTCGAGCAGTTGGGACAAACTCCTTCAAAGATATCAATGTTGTCTCTACTGTTATGTTCCAAGGCCCATGCAAAGGCTTTGATTGCATTTCTCAAGACTGCGCATGTGCCGCAAGAAACCTATGCTGACCAATTCAAAGACTGTGTAGTCAGTTTGACTGCTGACAATGGGTTGGGTTTTTCAGACGCCGATTTGACACCAAAAGGGAGAAAGCACAATGATGCTCTGCATGTATCGATTGAATGCAGGGGCATTACTATGGCTCACGTGTTAGCGGACATTGGATCATCGCTGAATGTTCTGCCTAACAAGGCTCTTGATAGGCTAGATTGTGAAGGCGTGACCTTAAAGCCCAGTAACATTGTGGTGAAGGCTTTCGACAGGTCAAAAATAATGGTGCACGGGGAGGTGGACGCCCTGTCAAAGTGGGCTCCCAGACCTTTGAATCCACCTTCTACGTGATGGATATAAGGCCATCATACTCTTGTTTGTTGGGTCGCCCTTGGATCCATGAAGCTGGGGCCGTTACTTCTGCGTTACACCAAATGCTGAAGTATCTAGTGAAAGGGAAGATTGTCACTGTTCATGGTGAAGAGGAGTATATGGTAAGCCACCTGAACTCTTTCAGGTATATGGAGATGGACGGGGAATTCATAGAGACCCCTTGTCAAAACTTTGAAGAGGTTCCCTAGGTTATGGCATCAACCGAGACCATCACTAATGCGCCAAAGATCACCAAATCTCCTTTGAAGATGGATTCTCTCAAGGATGCCAGAGCGGTAGTTGAAGAAGGTGGGTGTACCATTTGGGGACAGCTCCCTGATGTTCCTCATAAAACTGACAAATTTGCTTTGGGCTTTACTTTAGGAGCTCAAAGGGCGGTTCGACGTGTTCGGGCTCTAGGACCTCCCTTACGCATCAGCAATCGTGGGGTTAATGTTATAGAATACAATGATGAGGATTCTGATATTGACAATTGGATCTACCCCACTACTAACGATGGACGTAGTAAATGGACGACCAAAGATTTTGTGCCAATTTCTTTTGTTCAGCAGTAATTGTCTTACTTGTTTTTCGAATCAGTAATAAACAATATAAACTTTATGGCCTTATGTCTTACCCGAGGCACAATGGTTTATTTGTGAGGGTTATTATATGTCATTTTCATATATCATCAATAAAACATTAGACGTTTCTTGCATACAAATTTTGCATTCTCTGTTTTTCTTTTCTGCTTTATCAATACATCTATGCTCTTACACACACTCACATATCAAACTGCAGATCCATATCCACTATGGATCCCATTGATAATAGTTCTACTATTGCCAGTTATAATTTCGAAAGTCTGATCAACCAAGCCGAGGATGAAGGTGAGGAAGATTGTGAGGTGCCTAGAGAGCTTGCTAGGTTGTTACAACAGGAAGAAAGGGCTATACAGCCTCATGAAGAGCCAGTTGAGACGATAAAATTGGGCACGATGGTAGACAGAAAGGAAGTTAAGATCGACACAAATCTGGAGACTAAAGTCAAACAACGGCTGATACAAATGTTGCACGACTATGTGGAGATCTTCGCCTGGCCATATGAAGACATGCCTGGTTTAGACACTGATATTGTGGTACATCGTAT